CCCCAAAACCCCAAAACCCCAAAACCCCTAATGAAAAATTTTACATAAGTATAAATAAATTTAAATTAGCTAAAAATGAATAATGAAAGAATCAAAGAGCTTGCAATGCATATTGCAAACATCAGGGACGATGATGACATTAAACTTGAATCCCTGCTAGAGGTTGTGAAGTAAAAATCGAAAACTCTTCCAATATTTTATAAACTCACATCCTATATAGAATACTTGAGGAAAGAATCATAGGGTAGGAAGTTATCTTGAAATTATTAGAGATCAAAGGTACTCAAAAACTGCTCAACAGTCTCACTCATAATAACTCAAGTAAGCAAATAAAACTCATAGGAAAAATATATGAATATCTTAAATGTAATAGGCAAGAGAAAATTGGCAGGCAAGCTGCTTTGTGAATTAGTATTTTAAAACGAAGCTAATTAGGAAAAAATTTGTGAGCTTTGCGATTTTAACCCTGTTAATGGCTCTGTTATGCTGAACTTAACTATTCCTGCTAAATTCTATAATAGGATACAATAAATTCTGGAATAATTGAGAGACCCTCGAAAGCTCCAAGGACTAGCAGATAGAAATTAAAAATTCTGGTCTTATCCAAAGTTTGAAGCCTCTTAAATAAACTAGCAATAATAATAGCAACAACTGCAATAGTAAAAGGTTTAGTATTAATATGGAGATAAGAGCAGAAGCAACAACAAGTATAATATAGGCACTGGGGGAATGTAAGGTGATGAGTATGAAGATGAACTTAACCAGATTATCAAGTATGACACATAGAGGTTTGATACATAATTTCCAGATCCTGCAGAATACCTGTTCGGCTTTTTCGTAGTTCCAGCATAAGTACTGGGAGCGAATGGCAGTAATTATAACTAGGGAAGCTTGAATTAATCTGTAAGCTCAAATAATAGGAATTAGTCATTCGGTAGAAACTCCTCATCAACTAGAAGGGCTTCTAACAATATCAACAAATAAGTGAATGCTGGTAGTACTATTAGTAAGGACAAGCATAATACTATTATAGTTAATCCAAGAAGTCAAGGGAGCGATGCCAAAAACAGCAGCAAAACTAGAACTGATTCTAGATAGAACTAATATAGTGGTTAGAAAATAATTAATTAAAATCAAGGCGTTAAAGGCTCATTCAATTAGTCATAAAAAGTTCATGTCATTCAAGGTATGAAGGAACCAAGCAGTCTAAATGCTTCTCCAGTCAAAATTAATTTTAGAGATTCTGCTAAAGACGGAAGATAAAATGTGACTGAAGCGAGTCAAAAAAGTATATAGCAAAAAAGCTTAATAGCATTCGAATCTATGGAAGCTTCCCAGATTAAAAAGTAAAAAATCTCTCTTAACTTGAATTTAGACTTATGTAAAGTGAGATGAGCAACACTGAAAGAAAGTAGTTTAATAACTACTTACAAGATTACTTTTCGAAATCTTAATAAGATTAGTTTAGTACGGCAAATGGCTCAATCCAAAATAATCAACAATCGTTTTTGAAGTCTGCTGGCAGCGGATCTGAATCAGCTACTTAAATAATGAATCAATTAAATACTCTAGCCAAGAAGAAAATGAGCAATAATTATGGAGCTCATGACAATGATTACATGGTCTAAGATTCAGGTGGAAATAATCAAAATGTTTTGCATGTGCCCAGAAGAAATGGGTTTGGACCGACAATTCTAGAAACAGAAGAAACTGGGTTTTCAGCTGTTGAGGAAGAAGTTAAAAGTAATTAAATGGTAAACAGACCAACAGTTTATGCTGGAATGTAGGCGAAGGGAGATAAGACTACCTCATAAAATGATGGGTCTGATGCATACAGTGACCTCATAAATAAATATGTAGACCATAGCATCGATTCAACTAACGTTAACATGATAGATCAGTTTTATCACAGCTAAAGCAATACTTCCTCTAAGAGAAATAGCAATGTTCCACCAGTCCAAAACAACAGGAAGCCACATTCTAAACCATAGTAAATTATTCATCATAATAATGTTAACAACTTGCATCTCTCCAATGATTCAGCTGGAAAGCTCTTTATCAGAGAAGACATTTAACTATATCCACTAACTGCTAAGGAGAAAATTAAAGTTGTTTAGCAGTAAAATATGAATAGTGGCAGAAGTAGCCAGAGAAATTAAAGTAATGGCAGCAGCTAAGGAAGTAATGCTAGCAAACATCAGAAAAACAAATTTAGTCATGACCTTCAAAACCTTAACTTGGTATCTCATAATTACAATCGCAATGTACCATCCCAGTCAGCACTATCTCAGTCATAAATGACCCCAGAGAATATGACTCGTCATGTTAAATCTGTCTATGGGAATAATTCTCAATAAGATAGCTTGAGCAAGCAGAAAACATCAGCTAATAAAATTCAGTCAATAGTACAAAGGAATTAGTATTAATAAAACAACTATAAAACTGGAACTCTCGATCTCTCATCTAATTTAAACACCAATACTAATCATCTGTAGAACACAATAAACTTTAAACCAGCTCAAAACAGAATTCATCAATAATTATCTACTAAGAAAAATAATCCTCAGAGCTTGCAAAACTCAATTAATCATACTTAAGTTTTGAACAATAACTCATCTAATGGAAACGGAGTAGCCGTGAATAATATGAGCTACTATAACCAAAACAATATGAGCATTGGCCTTAATAACACCTAAAATTCAAGTTTGCTAATGGCTTTAGGACATTAATAACAAATGTAGAATAGCAGAAAACATAAGGATTCCGTCACGAGTGGCAGTGGAAATAATATAAATAGCAGTAGCTACATGATGCAAAATAATAATCATCTTCACCATAAGTAAAATCACAATGTTTCAGGGAGCAGTTTTAATGCTACTACAGTAGTAAATATTAAGGACATAGATAAGCGTTTACTTAATCTTATGAAAACTATGGGTAACTGAGATCACTTTATATATTCATTCCTTATTAGAAAACAGAATTTATTTATAATTCAACCTCACTTACTTTGAAATTCTATAAAATGGGGTTTTGGGGTTTTGGGGTTTTGGGGTTTTGGGG